CCCCAAAACCCCAAAACCCCAAAACCCCGATAGATGACTATAATCTTTTTTAAGAGCTTATGTAATTATATTTTATCAGATTGATAAGAATATTACTGATCTGTAAATATTAAATTATTTGATTCTCTCATCATCAACACAGCCTTTAATTCATTTTTATTTTCATTTCTCTTCGATAAAGGCAATTTATGTTTTAGGCTCATTAAACTTCAGACTATCTCTAGGTTTACCTTTTTTTGCTTTTATAGTTGATTTTGTCATAGTACCATTTGTAAATTTGCTGAGGTCTGAGTTGAAGTTTCAAAGATAGTTCTTCAATCAGGTTTCTTGACCACAATTAAGTCTTAAAAAATTGATTTTCTAAAATGCGTATTTGTTGATCATTTTTCTAATGTCTAGAGAATTTATTTTTCTTGACATTTAGCTTTTCTTTCTTTTCACTTTGCTTCTCTGTGTTAAAAATTTCTCTAAATTGAGGAACAATTGACCAATTTTATTCTTCTTAAAGCTTATGATCATCATCAATGGCTTAAACTTATGCAATGTCATCAATTCCTTATAGCTTTTCAATTCTTTGTAGCTAAATCTAATCTTCAGCATTTTAAGATATTGATGAAATTTTGACTAAGCTTTTAGAATCCTTGTTGCAATTGTTATCTTGATTGAAATCCCATTCAAGCAAAGTACTTTGTCTATTATTGATTGGACTAGAGTTGAATGATACTTCATTTTGATCATTCCATCTGATATTTGAGAATGGTAAATTCATTAAATTTGGTCTCAAAAATAATTCTGGATCCTAATTTGATTAATTGAATAATCTTACAATGTATTCATCTAGTATTTCTCTTGAATCTAGTGAGATTAACATGTCTTGGTTCTAAAATTGATTAAGATGATTTAGTATACATTCAAGACATATTGAGGCTGTTTATTTTCCATACACAGATATATTATTATTACTTTAGAGTCAGAGCTTTGCCTTAAATTGAAAAAGTAGTAACTTTCTATGTTAAATTTCCTTATTATCAAAATTGTTATAACTTTATTAATCTTTTTGAACAATTCTAGATTGTATCCCTTTTGTTGATTATATTGAATAAGTTTATGAAATCGTCTAGTTTCACTAGTAAAACATGAGCATCTACATATTGAATAATTGCTCCTTAATTTGCTGAAAGTTTAATGGCACCATTAGACTTCTAATAAACGTTGATAATGGATTTTTTATGAATTTCTCAATCCTTTTTTTTCGAATTTCAACATATTCTAATTTCCAAATTTAACGAATTAAAATGGTTCATGGGGTTTTGGGGTTTTGGGG